GTGTTTTTTGTCTGATGATGGTGTCTGTGAATAGATACCGAAATATCGGGTTGGTGCAAAAGTCTCCGCCGATTTTTTTTCTTTTCAATATTTCATGATTTTATTGAAACAGAATGTCACTAATCGACAACTTATATACCATTATTGTCTATGACATACTCCCATCTTTTAGGCAAATCGAGAATGCCATCTTCAAAGAATTTCTTTGATAAAGACGAAAAGAAACTCTCGAGGTCCGATTTTAGATGTAGTCGATCATCAAAATGCTTTTTCACCAGGTGATTGCAGAGCGACCAGAACAGATGATAATCAGAAGGTGCCAGATCTGATGAATATGGTGGATGAGGTAAGACCTCCCACCCTAATTCTTCCAGCTTCTGGCGAGTAACTTTTGAGATATGAGGTTTTGCATTATCGTGAAGCAATCGAACTTTTCGTCTTTCTGGACGATTTCCTTGTAGTGCAATTTTCAAATTCTCAAGTTGTTTGCAGTAAAGGTTCGAGTCGACCGTGGTATTAGGTGGTAGAAGTTCCCAGTAGATAATACCTTCGAAATCCCACCAGATCGACAGCATAGTTTTTTTCGGATGCAGGTCGTTTTTTGGTTAAGGTTCAGGCAAATCTTCAGGATTGACCCATTGACGCTTGAGTGTATGGTTGACATACAGGACCCACTTTTCATCACCAGTGACAATCTGTTGAAGAAACTTGTGTCGGGTGCGTTTTGACAAAAAAGAATTGCATATGGTGATTCTTTGCTGTATATTGTCCGAGCTTAATTGATGTGGAACCCATGTTTCAAGTTTACTAACTTTTCCAATTTCATGTAAATGCCGATCGATGGTGGAGTGATTGCATAGAAGCATAGCTGATAATTCACTGGTAGTTAATCGTGGATTGTCTTCGATCAGGACTTTTAATTGTTCAATATCAATTTCCAGAGGACGTCCAGACCTTGGACAATCTTCCAATGACATATCACCTTCCCGAAATCTTTTAAATCAATCTCGACAAGTGCGATCAGCAACAACACCTTCACCAAGTGCAGCACATATATTGTGCACAGCAGCACTTGCATTGTTCCCCAGTTGGAACTCATACAAAATGCAATGTCGAATATGAATAGAAATCTCTGACATATTTTAATATGGAATGTAAATAAAATCGGACATTCGTTAATATCACATTATAGTACTACACAGGCGGTATCATATGTGCGAAAACCACGCCTGTATAGTAGCGCTAGATAGCTTTAAAAGACTTTCAAAAAAATCGGCGGAGACTTTTGCACCAACCCGATATCACATAATATAAAATAAAATATGATTTTTGCTGTTCTTTTCTACTATATCAACAGGTCAGTCTAGTTATCTTACGACGACAGAGCAGGGATGGGCGAATCAAGCCATTTTCGAGTCGAGTCGAGTTCGAGTCATTTAAAAATACTCTCGAGTCGAGTCATCGATATTTTCGAGTCGAGTCGAGTCAAATTATTTTTTCAATTATTTCGTTTTGTTTATTTTGGTAAAAATACTAATAACACATTTTTATGATAAATTATCCTGTTTCTGTCCTAGTCAAAAGATTACAATAAACATAAGAACAA